GGGGGGGCGTGAAAAGACCGGGACGAAAGGGCTAGCGGGCTGAAAGTAGGGAACCGAAGGGGATCCCTCTAGGGAGGGGATAAGAGTTTCAAGCGGGGTGGGTGCCTCAAAGTTTACGAGGCGTGTCGGTCTAGCACCACTCTCCGGATATTGGCCAGTCTCGTCGATCACTATAGCATCAAAGGATGAGGATTGCGAAGGGCAAGCTCCTCATCCCATGCGCCCCGCTCTGCTCGGTCTACAGTGCCGCTGATGATGGCGTACGTGACGCGGTACATCTTCGGCACGGACAAGCTGCGACCCAACTCGTTCGAGGTGCGCGGGCTCAACGGCAGCTCCACGGGCGTGGTGCATGTGGACGACGCACTCGTGCTCAGCCAGTGGCTCAAGCACATTACGGACAACACGGTGGGGCTTACGCACCTGCAGGTAAGATCGCGCGCCAGCCGCGCTGCCACTACCCCGGGCGTCGCCGCTGCTACCCCCTGCCTCTTCTGAGGGGCGGGACCGACACGTCCACAGCAAATCCGTCCACAGAATTTTCGCGATGTGACAACACGTCCATAAGTTTCCATCCAATGGTTTGGACGAAAATTAACAGATGCGTTCGTTACGTCAACAGTGCGGATGTACTTACAAGCCGTGTGATGCTGGTGAAATTAGCTCCACAAAATCTGTTGCTCTTGCAAACGTACTGGTGGATTTTCAGAGCGGGCCAAGGCCAACAGTTATTCATTGGTTCGTTTGATCATTCCCAAGAATAAACGCATGCCCGAATGCCTGTTTCCCCTTAACACTGATCATTCCTAAAGGATGTGAATCCCAGCGGCGACAATTAGCGCCAGATTTTGTGGAGGTATTTTCACCAACCTCAAACGAACGGTTAGTACATCCACGCTTGTGGACGTAATAATCGCAGACGTTAATTAACGTCCAAATCATTGGAAGCATTTTCGCAAAGTGCTTCATTTACGTCCAAACTGAACTCAAATGAGTTCAGACCCAGACAAACTAATTCAGTATCAATGCAATAACAATTCAAACCATTTTACACAAATTCCAAAACAAATTCAAGTCAAGCCAATGCAAAACAAATGTAATCCAACTTAAAGCAAATTCACATAAAGTCAATACGAATTGAAAACCATTTAAAATTAACTCAAGCAAAGTCAAACGAATTCAACATCAATTGAAAGTAATTAAACAAAAATTCAAACCGATCTAACAAAATTCAAGCTAATTGAAAATCAATCGAAACCAATTTAACGATATTCAAGCTAATTCAAAGCAATTCTGACAAATTAAAATACGACATTACGATATTCGTATACCAAATTCATGGTTATTTGGCCTCTCCGCAGATGAAGCTGTACAACCGAACGCTACCCGAGCAGCTAGAGTACATGGGCTGGGTCAACGAGGGCGTCCTCAATAACAACCAGCCGTGGCAGAACTACAAGCCGAGGTTCATGGCACTCAGGGGCACCGATGTTCTCTTTTTCGACACGCCACCGGTGAGTTAAAGGAACTCAATCAATATTGAGTGAAACGCGGTACCCGAAGTAAGTCAAAACCACTGGAAATCTTGTCTTTCTTAGCTGAATGTGGCCGACCTGGATCAGTGTGCGGTCCAATTCAAGGTTTACAACTGCATGTTCCGCGTCATCAAAGACTCTGAGAACGTCGACGAGCGGCAGCACTGCTTCCTCATCCAGACGTCGGGTCACGACAGCCGCTACCTCAGCGTGGAGACGCGGCAAGAGCTGCTGAGGATCGAGAATGCTTGGCACCAGGCCGTCTGCTGCGCCGTCATGAAGCTCGGGGTGAGTGGGGGATTCTCCTTCGCTTCAACACTAGAAACGGAAAGGAACATTTTTTTGTTTCTCACATGGCCTCTCTCTGCACATCCAGAGCAGATAAAAATTTGTTCCTAAGACTGGACATACTGTGTAAGACTCTACACTTTTTGTCGAGTTTTAGGAAAACAATTGTATCCAGTATGGAAGTGCACGAAAATGTTCCGTTTAGTGAGCAGAATATGTGTTATGCCTCCTGAATAACAGCAGTACGCGCGCTGCCTACTATCGCCCCAACCGTAAAGTTCCCGTGGACGAGAGGCAAACCGGCGACAATGTTATGTCGTATCCGACAAACGTTACGTTAAGTTTGTCCAGGACGCCGTACCACTAACCTTAACGTGCTCATATGCCCCACAGAGCAAGACCTTCACAGTGACCACCTCCTCTGGAAAGACCGCCGGTTTGACCCTCGACTGGAACATGGGCTTCGCGCTCTTCGAGCAGGAGAACAAGGCTGCTCTCTGGAAGTACAAGTTTTCGCAGCTCAAGGGATCCTCCGACGACGGCAAGGCCCGCCTCAAGCTACACTTCCAGGAGCCAGACACTAGACTGATCGACACTAAGGTGCTGCTCCCAATAATAGCCATTGCATTTGAAAGTTCTGCGTTCCAAAAAATATTCCAATGTTGCTTTAAAAAAAAACACTTTAATTTCTTTAAAAATAAAC